CCCCCATTACAGACTTTAGCAATCAATATAAAACATGTTAGATTTTCTAGTTTTTTTTTGGAAAATTGATCAAGTTATTATTTTGAACAATAATGAATATCATTATTTGTGACTTGATTAATGTATATCATAGTGTGTAAGATCTGCTGTAGATATCAAAGATATGTAAAACACACTTATTTGTCAATCACTTCAATGATTATAATAATAAGAATGATAAATTAAGAAAAACGAATTAGAAAAAATTAAAAAAATAATGAGCGAATAGTAACAATGAAAACAAAAAATAGGGCGCCCGTCAGAAAACGAAAAATAAAAAATTCTTTATTTTCCACCTTCTGTATTTCATATTAATATAACGAAGCTGAAGAACATATGTGAGTTCCACATTTCAGCCCCAATGGGGCTGCGCTAACAAGCTTTTTTAAACCTATTAATGTGTATTAAAAATACAGAGTGTTTGGGAAGTGATTGACAAAACAGGAATCTTTGTATCTTCATAATAGTCCTATTCGAAGAACTGGTTTTCGTACTGATAGTAGAGGGCAATTGAAAGCTTTTGTTCATTGATATAAGACTCTCAAATATTCTGATCAAGTAACACTTTCACAAGCAATACCCAATAAAAGCTTTTTTCGAGGTGCAAGAAAAGCAATCTGCAGGACTGTATCTTGCATTTATTTCATTTTGTTTCATTATTGTGGACTTTCTCTCATGCAGGCTTATTTCTCTTCCTTTGTAGACATCTATTTTACATTTTTAACAAACTAAACACATTAGTATCAAGTCTAGTATCCATGAAAACTGCAAAATCACATTAATTCACTCAGTTAACTATTCATCAAAGTTTTTACTATCGGAGAAACAAACCTTTTTTTGGAGAAATGTGCTAATCACTTTGGATTTCCCAAATGTGCTCAAACCTTGTTTATAATCGAAACTAAATAGACCTAGATGACAGGAAGTCTACAATAATGAAACAAAATAAAATAAACGCAAGACGCAATCCTACAGATTGCTTTTCTTGCACCTCGAAAAAAGCTTTTATTGGGTATTGAATGTGAAAGTGTTACTTGATCAGAGTATTTGAGAGTCTTATATCAATGAATAAAAGCTTTCAATTGCCCTCTACTATCAGTACGAAAACCAGTTCATCGAATAGGACTGTTATGGAAATATAAAGATTTCTGTTGGGTCAATCACTTTCTCGAAACGCTGTATCGAATTTAATGTTATGAAATAAAAGAAATAGTAATTTTCACATGATGCTGAAAAAATGCATAAAAAGATATCTGCTTTTATGTTAGGTCCTTAGTGAGGTGAGGCAAGGTTGTGGAGAGTTGTCGAAGATCAGCGAACGAGGCGGTGGCGAAACGGGTTTTTTACTACCTAGCGGGTCTCTGTTATGTATATGCACAAGTGTGATTTCTTATGTCAGTGCACTGGCTACTACCTTGTCTAGTTGATAAGGAAAAAGCTTCAGATTATCGTGTGTAGCATCATATATAAAAGTACAAATATTTTTTGAGTTGTATTGTGTTATTGCGGCACTAACAGATTAGATACAAATAAGACGGCAATTTTATCAGCCGGTCACTGAATACAAGTCACGTACGCTACTAGATTTAGATAAGATAACTATATAGATGAAGGAACTGATTAAATGTGTGGTAAAGAACATGAGGTCTACAGAACACGGCAGGTAAATTATAACAAATTTACATCTATGGATCCGATTGATGTTAGTCACACAAAGTTATCGTCCATGTTGATTGATGAGCATTTAATTTTTTCAGAATAGAGTTTGTTCCGTTTCTTCATCTATTAGTAAAAGGTAAGAATGAATGTTACAGTGAAAAGAAGTTCTATTCCACTCCCTTATCTTTCTTGAAAGTTAAGTGAATTTAGGTGAGTATTGACACAAGTGAAGACTACTCACAAAAGCACCTTACCAACATCGATAAGATTTTTATGCAATCATTTTGAGTGACAAACTATAGATTGTTTGAAAAATCAGTTTCTTGATCAAAGAATAGTTCTGGTCTCAAGAGATTAGTTTTTATTTATTTCAAAAAGAAAAAAATATATATATGATGTTCTACAAATAAGGATAAAAACAAAATTCTCCACAAAGAAAACCGGTATTATCCATAACATAAGGTACCTAACTCAAATCAATTTATAATATGTTTATTCATCCAAATTAATAACAGTGACTTCACCGATGGTAACTGTTTTTACCGGAGATGTTGGAGTATTTGTAGGTGTTTGATATGGTAACTCTGCTTCTGAACTTGAATTGGAATTTGAATATTGATCATCATTTCTTGGAACATATTTCTTTGACACGTTTAATGTACTATTAATACGTGTTCGTAAATGAACTATTTCAAACACATAATTCCGATAAAGAGATGCTCGTTTTGATAAATTAAGTAGAATAACATCACAAACAAATGTTGCTAAACCAAACAGCCCAATTAAAGAACCGATATTGAAAGTCAACGTAATAAAATGAAATTTTCCAGCTTTACCACTAACAGCAATTATTAAACGAAGACCATACGCTTTTGTTAATATACGAACATGTCTCTGATTATGTTTCCAATGAGAAGCATAACGAAAATTAAAACCACGTGAAAATGGTTTTTCATAAAAAGGTACATCAAGACGAGCAAATGAATATTGAGGTTTACATAATTTTATATTTCGATCTAAATTACAATTCCAATCAATTTTAATACGAATAACACCACCATGAAGTAACATTAAATTACGTTCACTAATATTTTTTTCAACTTCATTCATGATAAAATCCATGCTAAATATTGGACAATCTTTATAATGTTTTGGATGAAAAATGCATGGTTTTTTTAAATTATCAACCATATTTTGATGTTTAACATTGAATGCTGGAAATTCAATAAAATTCTTAATAAATATTGTAAAATTACGAACATCTTGAACAAGCATTGTCGATGTAAGATCATCTTCTGGTGGACACCAGCCTATAAAAAATGTCTTATTAGTAAAATAGCTGATTAAGGAGCTTCTTTAAAGAAAAAAAAAATCGACTAATGAACTTTCAATCATCCTAGTAGTTTCCGAAGAATAAGCATTGTCTATTTATGCTCTATTAATAATAAAACATTTTATTAATTAACCTATTGGTTTGGTCGAATTCTTTTAACTTTTGAGATGTGAAAAATTTGTTTTTTTTTCAGCCACACGAATATTTTGATTAGGTTCATTTTTGAACTTAATCCTGAAGGGGACCACAGCTGAATTTTTCTACGAAAATAAAAGCACTCAGCATATTTTGAAAAATGGATAGGCCGACTCAGATCTTTGTACTAATTTCAAACATACCATTGGTTTTCGTTAAAAATCGGGTTCGTTTCATAAAATTTGCTCAAAACTAGCCTAAAAAGTGTTCTTTTCGTATACTGAACTGCATGTGCATATTTTAGATATTTAAGCCCAAGTTCGGATCAAATGAATTACATATCACTTTGTAGAGATTACTTTGTTCTATCAAATAGTATATAGGAGAAAATGACTTATACAAAAAATTATCGCAAGCGATTCAAATTATTGTTGATTTGCAAGCTATTGAATCATATTCTGGATGGAAGAATCAGATCTCTCATGATGGAATTTTTAAATGAATTCATAATAGTCATTACATCAAACGACACAAAATTAAATGCTCTTTCTAACCGATACAGAGTCAGCTTGAAATATTGCATAACAATTCTGCGTTTAGAGGTAATACCAAACATGTGAGAGTTCAATGAAAGTTCAATGACTATTTGTGGATATTAGATTTGTAAAATACCGTCCAATTCTAACAATTTCGCGTAAATTTATTATTTCAAGGATCGCCATATGTTTCTGCATAGAACGACCAATAAACTAGTCAAAAGTATTCTGTAGGTCAAATCAATATCTTATGCGCCCCTATCTTTTGTTTAATCGCCGTTTAAAGTCTACCCAAAAAAAGAGAGGACATTCATATTTCGAAACTCTGAAATAATAACACTCGTCATTCTTCAAACAAATATTTAGTTGATCTTATAATTAGTCTTATAACATCGATGGAATTTCATAAACTTCGATTCATTTATCTTTCGAAGATATGATCTCGACATGTTATATGTCACAAGGATATTCGATAAATTGATCGTTTGCATTATTTACATTCGCATTCTAAACGTCCTATAAAATATTGATTTAAATGTCAAAAATACAAAACATAATACTAACACAATATCTCATTGATTTTTCTTTGTAAATATCAAACTAATAAGCGGTACAAAAGTCTTAGGAACAATATCAAACCCCGTTAGATCATATTGCCGACTTATGTACCAATCAAATTTTTTTTGTTAGAAAGAGGATTATCTGAACTACAAATTTTGTAGCAGACATATTTTTCCAGAATGAATCTCACAAAAAGGAAAAGTCAGAAGCCAAACACATCTAGAAAAGTTCTTGCAACTTCACCATCGAGCAACATCATTTTCTATTTACTATTAGTTTTTTTTTATATTATAAGAGAAATAAGAAAAAACGTCCAATGATGCTTTGTGTAGCAGAGAGAATGCTCATTCTAATGGTGTATTGAAAGGGAAATTTATTCTTGGTTTCTATATCAATAAATAGTGTTTCGTGAAAGAGACTGACTAATTTGGTCGTTCTCATTATTTGACTGCCTTACAACGGTAAAAATAATTTTTTAAATGATGTTTTTGCTAAAATTCTACGATTAGATATAGTGTGACTAAATAACGCGAAAAGAATTCACTCCATGCATGATTTCTGCAGATCGTGGCTGATGTTTTCGTAAAATTATGGTTCTTGCAAAATGCTTATTTTTCAAAAATTTTGTCTTTCAAACTTTTTTGATTAAAGAGTCAAGAACAGATCTAAAACATTTTTCTCAAAGCTGATATTGATAGAGTTTGTGAAGCGCTACATTTTGGAGTAATTTTTGTTCAAATTTGATCCATGGTACCTTAAAACAATTGAGAAAAACAGACTTTCAAGTTGCAAAATCGTTGCAAAAACTTGATTGCAGGTGTTTGGTTTTTAGTTTTTTCTCCTTCCCAGCTTCGTTCTGGAAAAATATGTCTACTACAAAAATTGCAGTTCAGATTTTACTCTTTCTAATAAAAAAAAACTGATTGATTCAGAAGTCGACAATATGGTCTTAGAGGGTTTGACATTTTTCCGAAAAGACGTTTGCACCGCTTATTATTTCGTTAATATACAAATAATTCCCGTTTAATTATTTTAATCTAAAAAGAAAACATCTACCTGCATATTCACATAATCCAGTTGGCCTTTTTATAGCATTTGTTGTTCCCGTGACAACATTTGTTTTTGATGATAATAAGCATCGACCTGTCCAGCGTCCATTCATGCTTGGTATAGATGATTTATTGAAACAGTCACTATCACTTTTACATATTGCTTCTTCAAGTTTGATATTTTCAGCACATTTAGATTGTGTCTGATCAGTTTGAACAAAATTTGTCTTTATAAATATAGCATTATTTTCCGATGGTGGAATAATATAATCTATGAAAATAAAATAATGATTCGATTCTGAATATGATTTTCTTTTTCAATATACCTGCTCCATCAATAATCAATGTTTTATTTTCTGATAGATGAACATAACCGATACCTTTTACTTTAAGTGTTACTGATGACGTAATTGCTGTGCTTTGTTTTTGGTAACCTTTTTCATATATAAGTAAATATAATATAGAATACATTAGAATAATGATCTGTATAACACGAAGTAAACCAGCATATGTTGCACTATGTATTAAAACTAATTTTGGTGTTTCATATTCAGTGAAATAACCTATAAGAAAATTTTTCAAACTTTTCCCAACATGATAACGATCTCCGAAAAATGAATTTGAATTCATTTTTTACAATAAAATATACGATATATTCTAGAATAAAATCAATAATAACATTCGATTATTTGTACAAGAAACCTAATTTGATATATTAGAAACATTGTTTATTTGTTTCTTAATAATATTGTTTTTTCTTTCTTCAATTATAACATTTTCATATGACAAATGTCTGCGTCTATTAAGTAAGATAGAGAAAAATGTGTTGATCATGCAAGAAGAAGAATCTCCTCAACATGTAGTAAGAGTTGAACTGAAAAAGCCTTATATGTTATCTTCGAAATCTTGTATATCGCTAAAAATGATCTGACAGTAATGAGTTGTTTGTAGACAACGTATGTTATTGACAGCAACAAGCATCATTTCCAACTCTTCTATTATTCATTTGTCAAATTTAGCCAGTTGTCTTTGTGATTTATGATGGAATAATAGAAAGGCAAACATAACAATGCATTGTCTACAATAAAATCCTTTCATTATTCCTTCTCACAGAAAGAAAACAAAAATTATATGTACAAAGAATTAAGACACTTCCTTCTATCAGATTCTAAGAAATCCTTGGCAAACAATGTCATACCTATTGAAAAGAATTATCAACTATTTTACGACCAAGCCATATGTTGCCATATAAACACATGTAAATTGAATAGATCTATTATTCTATTTCGTCGATGTATGATCAATAGTTCTAGATAAAAAAATGAATAAATTCGGATATGTTCATATCGAATATTTCTTGATCATATCTTCCCCAATTGTATTCTTGAATTAAACTTCTATGTCTATAACAACAAGCTTGTTTCTTCATATCTACTCTTTAACATCAATACGTCAAAACCGCATTCATAAACATTACTCTTTTTCTTCTATCCCGATACTACTGTATTTATATTCTCTAGTTTCTACAGCTATAAAGCATGCAATCTCGAGAATTATTGATATTAAATTCTATCGTCAGTTTCATATTCTTATATCTGTAGTTCTTTGTATACATTTTTATTCTTTTATTCAATCTTTTATATTTGTATAACTATATCCTTAACTTTTAATTTTGAATCGATCTTTCTTATTCTTATTCATTTTATCATATTTCTATCTCAATACTTATTCATAACGCTTCTTCATTTAACCAAGTAACTTGATATACTTCCGTAAAATCAAATCATATAGTTCTTATGTTTATACTTTGCTTTATATCTCCACAGATGTTAAACGATATATAAATATCAAAACCAGTATCACTATCTTATTCATTTGATTATTTATTTATTGGCTACATTAGTATGTTTCTTTCCGAAAATGAAATCTGTTCACCAAGGATACAGCTTGAAACATTCATCGAAATCTATAAGAAGTTCTGCTCGATGGTACATTAGAAAAACGTGTGTCGCAAAAAAAACGATTTTCACACATATAACATAATGTTTTTCAAGTTTGTTAGCACTTGAAGAAAATCAGGATAATCGAAAATTCGAATTCTATCATCAGGTTACATGAAAAACTCTGTATCCCAACAAAGTTTTAAAAAGAGTGCATGTCTTCAAATCGTTTGATTACATGATAGGTTCGAAATATCTTGATCGTATCTTTTTAGTTTACATATCGATCATTACCTGCGATCCCAAAGGTATCATGGCATTTCAAAGGTTTACAATTACATTGTTGATTATTAAGCTGAATTCAACACTTTTCTTTTTTGTTTTTGTAAGAGAGTTATGAGTTTCTATTCTTAAATGACAAAGTTCCCAAAAACTCTTAAACGCTTATCAGTTCTAACTATCATTGCAAAAAAATGTAGTATTTTTGCACTTTTGTCAACTAATATAAAACATCTCTTTTTGCTATGTTTACTTCCATTTCTAGCGCTATTATGAACTTCATGTCATCAACATGTTCTAGTAGTGTTTTATTAGCATTTATTCAACATTTTTTGAAAGCATTGACAAACTAGTATATTATGAAAAAGCGCTTTGCTGTTGTCACAGAAAAAATCTTGATAATCGGTGGAATGCACATAGTGTTCTATATCATGGCTCTTACTTTTGTTAGATGTAGTACCGATGTGCTCAATTGGCAAAAATCTGTTACAATGGATCTTAATCAAGTAGTATTAAGACATGTGAATTATTTAAACTTTATCATAATGATAGAAATTGAACTTCTCCCTTTCAGATAGTCAAAAAAGAAGACGTATTAGATTAGGTTTGATGAATAATGGCGTTATATACATTTGAAATATAATTATGATTTTTGAAACATTTTGTAAAGTATTGGATCTTAGTGGTATAAAGAAAAGAATTTGTTTATTAGATTGCTGCTTATATTGGGAAACATAAATAGATGTCCTTCTAAGGATAAGAATCGTACGTACATAAGAAAAGGGAACAAACTATTTCAAATCTATCTTGCCCATTAATTGAGATAAAAAAAGAACTTTGGTTTTTTTCCTTAAAGAGAAAGAAGAAAACACAGAATAAAATTTATCTGTAGTTATTAATCTTTTTATTGATTACATACACAGGCAAATTGATACATATCTACATTTCAATAATATTCTACGTATCATGTAAGTTACATGGACATAGATGAGTGACAGTTGTCTTTTTCTATTATTTATCAGTTGATATATCTTATACTTTTTTCAGCTTTCTATTACATGAGAAAAAGAGTTTCTAACATATAATTTTTTCGTACTAATTGATTTTTTTAATAAGCCTCAAATATTATTTGATAACAAAACGAATCGGTCTGATTCTCTATAGAACTAGATATTATCTTTAGCTAGTCGAATAAGATACGTATAGTCAAATTTAATATAATGAATGACAAGAAAAGAATATCTTCACTTTGAATAACAATGTTTATTCTTTCAATATTCAGAATCGTTCCGATAGTTGAACGTTAACCTACCAATTTTGGAAAATTTGTTTAGGTTGGTGAAGATTATTTCTTTTAGACATGCCAAACTTGAAAGTTGAATTCGAAGTATTCAAATAATTCTGATACATACACAGGGCATTTCTTGAATATCTAAATTGGATTGTTGAATAGTTGAAGACTTGAAATGATTGTTGAACACTTGAATTCAGCTTTCAAGTTTGACATTACTGTTGGTACTGACTAAGAAAAAAAAAACCAATGCATGTCGAATTCTTGTTGATAAACCTTTTAACAGTTTAAATTTGTTCGTCTGTTTTGCTAATAGCCATGTGTATCAGACTCAGAGTAAGCAACTCAATTCAGAATATTGATCAATTTAATTCTATTGCTGAGTTAAATTGAATTGAACTTAATTTTGTCGCATTAAATAATTCTAGTGCATATATTTGTTGGGAAAGGGACATTTCGCACTAACTTTTCATTACGATCTCCAGTAACATATGTTTGTTACGATCACCTGACATAAGAAAAAAGACAGGGTGTTCGAAATGACAAGAAACAATCAAAAATTAACTAAAGCAGGGAGTTTGCAATGAAAGTTGTCCAGATGATCGTCACGAACATCCATGGTCGAGTTTGACAGATAAAGACTTGAAATTTGACTGGAGTTCGGATTGAAAATGACCGGGAGATCGTAATGAAAGTTAAGGCAAATAAAATAGTGAATGTTTGGAGCTCATAATGAAAATTGCAGGGAAATCTTAATGAAAAAAGACAAATTGTTCAAAACTGTGTTCATGTTTGCTCTTCTTTAGGAGATGTTAAGTGACTCACTAGTTTTTATTATAAGATGGTACACAAAGAATGTTCTGATGAATTCAAGAAGTCAATATTTCTATTGTTGTTACTACTGTCACTCAAGTGTTTGTATTTATCATTATTATTCCTTATATGCACATGCTTTTTATTACGAACACCATGACTTTTGAAAGAAAAAAATGTGTTTAATTATTATTCTAGATAACTGAATCCTATTTTTCATAATAAGAAAGAAAGGAAGAAAAGTCTTTACAACAGTTACCGATGTCAGNATAAAATTTGTCTTTATAAATATAGCATTATTTTCCGATGGTGGAATAATATAATCTATGAAAATAAAATAATGATTTGATTCTTAATGTAATTCCTTGTTTTTGTTTTCAATATACCTGCTCCATCAATAATCATTGTTTGATTTTCTGATGTAAGAACATAACCAATACCTTTTACTTTAAGTGTTACTGATGACGTAATTGTTGTACTTTGTTTTTGATAACCTTTTTCATATATAAGTAAATATATTGTAGAATAAATAAGAATAATGATTTGTATAATACGAAGTAAACCAGCATATTTTGCACTATGTATTGAAACTAATTTTGGTGTTTCATATTCAGTGAAATAGCCCATAAGAAAATTTTTCATACTTTTTCCAATATGATAACGATCTTTGAAAGATGGATGTGAATTCATTTCTTACAATAAAATGCACTATATATTCTAGAACAAAATTAATAATAATAATAATAATAATAATATTCGATCATTATTTAAAGAAACAAAATTTGATATATTAAAAAAACATTGTTTATTTGTTGCCTAACAATATTTTTGTTTCTTTTTTCAATAATGTTAATTTCATAGGATAAATTTTTATATGTATTAAATAAGACAAAGGACAATGCATTGATATTATGGATACCACATTACTCGAAATGCACTAAAACTAGTTCAACTAAAAAAAGATCGTATCAATTATCTAATAGCCTCTTATGTCGCTGCAAATAACTATACACTAATGAATTCTTTGCAAATGACATGTATTATTGACAGCACCAAACATTATATACAACTCTAGTATTATTTGTTTGTCGAAATTCAGTCAGTTATCTCCATGACCTGTGATGGAATAATAGAAAGACAAAATACCAATGCATTGTCTATCATAACATCGTTTCATTATTTCTTCTCGAAGAGAAGACATCAAAATAATAGATACAAGGAGACTAAAACATATCTATATATCGCATTCTAAGAGATTTTTGCGAAATAATATCATATCTATCGAAAAGAATTTTGAACTAATCTTCCATGAAGCTAAATATTGACGTACAAAGATGTGTAAATTGAATAGGTTTATCAATCTATTTCATCGGTTTATAATCGACAGATCTAGATAAAAAATGCCTACATTAAGAAATGTTCATATCGAATGTTCTTTGATAATATTCAGCTGAATTGTATTCTTATATTGAACTTTTATGTCTATAATAATAAACTTGTTTCTTCATATCTACTCTTTAATTTCTGTACATCAGTATCGCATTCTAAAACATTACTCGTATTCTTCTATTGCGACCCTCCTGTATTTTTATTCTTAAGTGTCTAGGCCTATTCAGCATGGAACATTGACAACAACTGACATTAGGTTCTATCATTAGTTTTATATCCTCATATCCATACTTCTTTCAATACATTTTTACTTTTTTATTCAATTGTGTATATCTCTATAATTATATTCTTAGCTTTTAATAGTTCTTGCTTATTCTTATTCATTTTATAATTGTTTTGTCATATTTATATCTCAATTCTTATGCATTAGGTCTATTTGTTTTACCAAATAGCTTTTTGTACTTCCATAAAATTATTTCACGTTTTTCGATGTCTATACTTTTCTTTATATCTCAACAGATCTGTAACGAAATATAAATACTAAAACCAGTATCACTGTGTTTTTTATTGGTTGATTCATTTATTATTTTCATTACTACGTTTCTTTCTATCAATGAAATATTTAAACCAAGAATGTAACCTGTAATATTCGTCGAAAGGTATAAAAAGTTCTGTTTGATAATACATTAAAGACAACATCCGTCACAAAGCAAGCGATTTGCACATTTAGTATGACCTAATGCTTTTCAAGTTCGTTAGCACTTAAAGAACATGAGCACAATCAAAAATTCGGATTCAATTATCAGATTTCATGAAGAACTCTGGGAATCATTCGAATATCATAAGAAGAAAGTCTTTTTTAAACGCATCACTCGTGAATGAATATCTATATTGACTAAATAAATGTGCGCATGCAACAATGAAAATGTTTATCAAAGGATAAAAACAAATTCTCTTTATCTCCCAATGTATGTTTTCTTCTTCTCTATTGAAGAATTATTACTATAATAATACTTACCCCCCCCCCCAATATATAAAAAAATNTTAATCGTTCGACTTTTTACTTTTATGAATCGTCAATTTCAAAATGTCAATTTCAGCTTTGTGAATATTTGTATTATCGGTTAGTAAATCATCTTTATAAGGTTTGAACAATGTTGAAACATGGAAAAATTGCGTATTGACAGTATATGAAGGGATTAACTTCGACATACGGATAGAAATTTTTTTGATGCTCAGTGAATCTTCTTCCAAGTTCTTCACTTGTTATGTTGATGAATTTTTTGTATATCTTAGCAATGCAGAGTCTGTCAACGGAAATTTTGACAAATACATGCATCCACTCCTTTCTGGTTTTTACTCATTATTTCTGATGAATGTTTGCTAAAAAATGTTACCTTGATACTATTATAGGTGAGTTACAAAATAGAAGAAAAATACTTGTGACGATATACATTATATATGTATTTGACATTAATAATAGCAAACGTAGTGGAAAGAGGCTCTGTTCCACTCTCATATCTTTCTCGAAGTTTGAGCGCGTTAAGACAAGTGTTGACACGAGAGAAGAGTATACTCCAAGAAGAAAAAAGCAGATTTTGGCATCTAAAACCTATCAAATCTATCAAAATCTTTTGAAATCTTTAAATCTCTTAAAATCGCTTCAAACATGTTTTATTCGATCCGAAATCTTTGAAATAATACACTATTTGCCAATTTTAGGGAAAATTTTGAGCTACAATGATTTTTCATTAAGGGATATAAAGCAGATTTTAAAGATTTTAAGATTTTAAGATTGTAAAAGATTGTAAAAGATTTTTGAAAGATTTTGAGGAATATTAGAGACTTTGGAAGATTTCAAGCGATTCCAGTTACATGAGATTTGCTTAATCTAATAAATCTTGGCTTGAAAACGAAACCTAGCTTCATTTAATGCGTTTTGCAATGTGAGTTATGAATAAAAGATGAAAAATAAATTTTTATCTTCTCAAACAATATTTTTTTCTGATATGTTCTAAGAGTTGGAGAAATTAATATTCACAGTATATACACTAGATGTCTAAATCTACTCTATACTAGAATTTCAGCGCTTTAATTATTGTTGTCCTGGAGATACAAGTAAAATTTACAAAAAACAAAAACCACTTGAAATCTCCTAAAATCTTTCAGAATTTTAAAATCTTTGAAATCTGCTTTTCCGCCTTGATATACTCTTAAAAACATCATACTCATACCAACAAGATTTGTACGTAATCAATTCGAGTGACAAACAGTAGTTTGCAAAAAAAATCTTGGCCTCGTCATTTCCGATTCTGTTCGCCTAGGATTCATTAATTTTTTTCTGGTTCTAGTATTGTTCGATCGCTCAGAAAGAACACCGTCTATTAGCATATTTTGGATTTATTTTTCACTTTTCTTGGAGAGAAAAATTAAGTTTTATAAGCGATACGATTGGAACTAGAAAAAATATTACACTTTTTCGAGCATTGATTATCAACTATTCGCTATTACTTTTAAGTAAGAATCATTCAAAAAACCAGTTGAATCGTTTGCGCTCAATATAAACACCACTTTTAACAACGTTTCCTCATTTTTTTGATGGAATTGCATAGTAATCAATCTTCTATCGCATTCAATATTTCTTGAAAATTTTCATCTATTTCTATCTTTGTGTTTCAACGTTTTCGTTAATTTCGAGTTTTCAATATTGTGTATGTGTCATGGCAATAACTTCTGGTTTTACAATCGCTAATAAAACTTCATTCAATAAGTTCAATAAGATAGTCTAATCTTGTTTTGTAGGATTCAATCATAACAGTTATAAACCTTAAGTTTTATTCCGTAGATAAGTGAAAGAAATTTCAAAATATACTAATCTGTAGTATTCTTTCTGAGCGATCAAACAATAATACACAGAACCAAAAAAAATAAATGAATCCTGTGGGAACCGTATGGAAAATGATGAGGTCCAATATCTTGCAAACTGCTGTAGAATGGACTGTTTGAAAAATCAATTTTTCATGAAATAATAACTCCGACTTCAATAGATTAAGCTTTTATTTACTTAATAGAAAACTATCTATATAGATGATTATCAAAAACTAAGGATAAAAACAAAAATTCTTCACAAAGAACACTGTTGTTATTTATATAATATAAAATACATAATATAAGTTGATTGTTAATACTTGAATTGATACGGATTAACAAAAGTAACAGGAGCCATGATAGCTGTTTTTCCTAGAGCTGATGGACTATTTCTAGGTGTTTCAAATGGTAATTCTACGTCTGAATTTGATTCGGAATTTGAATATTCATCATCATTTCTTGGAACATATTTCTTTGACATGTTTATTGTGCGATCTTTACGTGTTTGTAGACGAACAATTTCAAATACAAAATCCCGATAATTACGTGCATTTTTTGATAAGTGAAGTAGAATAATATCACAAACAAATGTTGCTAAACCAAATAGTCCAACTAATGAACCAGTATTTAAAGTTAACTGAATAAAATCAAATTTTCCAGCTTTACCACTAACGGAAATTATAAAACGAAGACCATAAGCTTTTGTTAACATACGAAAATGTTCTTCGTTATATTTCCAATAAGAAGCATAACGAAAATTAAAACCACGCGAAAACGGGTTTTCATAAAAAGGTACGTCAAGACGAGCAAATGAATATTTCGGTTTACATAATTTTATATTTCGATCTAAATTACAATTCCAATCAAGTTTAATACGAATAACACCGCCATGAAGTAACATTAAATTACGTTCACTAATATTTTTTTCAGCTTCATTCATTATATAATCAATAGTGAATATCGGACAATCTTTATTATCCTTTGGATGAAAAGTACATGGCTTTCTTAAATTATCAACCATATTTCCATGTTTAACGCCAAATATTGGAAACTCAATAAAATTCTTAATAAATATTGTAAAATTAAGAGTTTCTTGAACAGGCATTGTCGATAAAAGATCATCTTCTGATGGACACCAACCTATAAAAAATATCTTACTAGTAAAAAAGCTAATTAAGGTGCTATTTAAAAAAATCTGAATAATGACCTTTTAATCATTCAGTAGCTTCTGATGAATAAATATTCTCTATTTATGCTCATTTAATCTTAAAAAAACATTGTCTTCTTGTTCAAGGGCAAAGCTTATCAGCGTTTGCATCATAATTAATCTGTAGGATTTAAATTTGAGAAGTAAACTTAATATTCGTTCAACGTAATAATTGAAATCTACTGGCCGGAATTATTGATACAAAAGTAAACAAAAAAGTTTTGCTTAAGTAATATTGTAAAGAACAGAGATGCATAAAATGTTGATTTGACCAACGCAATACTTTCGGCTACTTCATTAGTAATTCTATGCAGAAAAATATGATAATTCTTATAATAATAAATTTACGCAAAATTGTTAGGATTGGACGGTATTTTGCCATACTTTTCAAAATCTGCTGATTACTTTCACTTTCGTCGGAAGTCGCCTCAGGATTAAGTCAAAAAAATGAAAATAGTTAAAGAGACATTTTTTATTAATTAATCTATTGTTCGGTCGAATTCTTTTAACTTTTGAGATGCGCAAAATTTGTTTTGTTTCAGCCACACTGATGCTTTAATTAGGTTTATCTTTTCACTTAATCATGAGGATCATCTCGGTTGAATTTTTTAACAAAAATAAAAAGTATTCAGCATTTTTTGAAAAGTGTAGAAATCAATTCAGAGTTTTGTGCTAGTTTCAAATATATCCTTAATTTTTGTTAAAAATCGAGTTAATGTCATGAAATTTTCTCAAAACTAGTGCAAAAAGTGTTCTTTTCGTATACCAAACTTCATATGCATATTTTATGTATGTTAGCTCAAGTTCGAATCAAATGAATTATATATCACCTCGTAGAAATTTCTTTATTCTACCAAATAGAATATAAGAGAAAAAGACTGGCATGAAAGATTATGGCAAACGATTCTAATTATTGCTGATTTGTGAGCTATTGAATCATACCATAATGGAAGAATCAGATCTCTCATCACGGAATTTTCGAATGAAGTAATAATAGTTGTCACATGAAGCCAGACAGAATAAAATGCTCTTTCTAACCAACACAGAATAAACTTAAAATATTGCCAAAAAATTGTGCATTTAGGGCTAATACTGAATACGTAGGAGTCCAATGAAACTTCAATGACTATTTTTGGATATTCTACCTGCAAAATATCGTTCTATCCTGACAATTTTGCGCATACAAGTCGGCTGGATTTAGTTACCTATTTTGAACTAGGATATCATATATGTGATTTTTTAGAGCGATTCGTAGCAATTCAAATGGTATATAAGAAATCAAGCTTCTCTCAAATTTTGATGCACCAAGAGTTCATATACTGTTTATAATCTTTGAGGAATATATATATATATGGTACTCATAGACATTGTGGCCTCTATAGTGTTCTACAATAAACTTATGCAAATTGTCTTTAAACTCAATTAGATATAGTTATAGGCGCTTTCCAATTTTCTTTAATGAATAGTTTTCATTATTGTTTTCTTAATACTTAAAAATGATCTTATTTCTTAGATCTAAGTTATATTTTGACAATATGATATTTCAGTACGATCAACTGTGTGTTACAGAGCAAGTGATTGCAAACATGAGACTTCCTCGAAAATTTCACACTATTGAGCTTTATATGTTATAAATATAACATTTTTGGTAAACAGCAGGGATTCGTTGTCAAATTACAGAATTATTCCCTCAAATAATTTATTTTCCAATTTTAGGGAATCAGTATATTGAGGATATTTTAACAGTACTCAATGGCCCTATTAAAAGTTTTCATTCATCAATAATCAGCACAACATCCGTGATAAACTGATGTAAATAACTCCTTTATAACCGGAAAAGGTTTTGAGTCTCCGTCTCCTTGAACAAGGATACGTAGATACAAAAAAAATTATTTTTGAAATGAACATAAGATAATTATATATTCTTCTAAAGTTTCTTGTATAAATGGTACCTGGATAGTTGGAATAACAATCTGAAAAAGAAATAATAAAAATAACAAACTTCCTACTTACAGCCATATTCTCATACCCCCTCCATGGATTCGGAGGTCGGAAAAGAAATTCTCCTTCTTATAAAGAAGTTATTTACATTAGTGTAGCAAGAATACTGCGTTGATTTATTAATGAATAAAAATTTTTAACAGGACTATTTAGTATTGTTAACGTATTCTCAATATACTGACCCGTTAAATCTGAAAATAAACTATTCCAGGAGATACTCTTACAAGTTGATAATGAGTCCTTGTTATTATGCAAGATGTTATCTATAAAACACATAGAGCTCGATAGCGTGCAACTCTTGAGAAAGTGTCATGTTGGTACTGACTTATTCTGTAATAGAGATTTGATCTCACTTGACTATCATATAGTCCAGATATGTCATAGATCTAAGAAATGAGACCGTTTCTAAGTATGAAGAAAGCAATAATGAAAACTATTCATTAAAGAAAATTGAAGAACATCCATAACTGTTTTAAGTTAAGTTTAAAAACAAAATTTGCATAAGTTTATTTTAGAATGTTTTAGAGGTTGCAATGTCTTTGAGTACCATATATATTCTTCAACAATTATAACCAGTGTATGAATTCTCGGCGCATCGAAATTTAAAGAAAACTAGATTTCTCATTGATCATTCGAATAGTCGTGAATCGCTTCACAGATGAATACATATGGCACCCCAATTCAAGATAGGTCACCAAATGTGATGTGATCCTGTTATTAAAAGAATCACCATATTTTTCTGCATACAACCACCAGAAAAGTAGTGAAAAGTATTATGTAGGGCAAAAAAATATTTTATACACCCCTATCTTTTATTTAACCGTTTATAGTCTACCTGAAAAGGAGGGAACATTCATTTTTGGAAACTCTAAAATTATAAGAGTCTACATTTTTCAAACAAATATTTAGTTGATCTTATAACTAGTCTTATTCATAAAATCGATAGAATTTCATAAACTTCGGTTCATTTTTATTTCGGAGATATGATCTCGACATGTTACATGTCGCAAGGATATTCGATAAAATGATCGTTTAGATTATTAACATTCGCATTTTAAACGTCCTGTAAGACATTGATTTAAATATCAAAAATATAAAACATAATATTAAAACAATATCTTATGTGCTTTTTTATGTAAATATCAAACTATTTCGTTAATATACAAAAAATCCTTGCTAACTTTTGCAATCTAAAAACAAAAATTTACCTGCATATTCACATAAACCTGTTGGACTTTTTATAGTTTTTTTTGGTTCCTTGACAATATTTGTTTCTGATGGTAACAAACATCGACCTGTCCAACGTCCATTCATGTTTGGTACAAATGGTTTATTGAAACAGTCCCTATCACTTTTACATATTGCTTCTTCAAGTTTGATATTTTCAGCACATTTAGATCGTGTTTGATAAGTTTGAACAAAATTTGTCATTATAGATATAGCATTATTTTCTGATGGCGGAATAATATAATCTATGAAAATAAAATAATGATTCGATTCTGAATATGATTTTCTTTTTCAATATACCTGCTCCATCAATAATCAATGTTTTATTTTCTGGTATATGAGCATAACCGATTCCTTTTACTTTAAGTGTTACGCACGACGTGATTGTTGTACTTTGTTTTTGATAACCTTTTTCATATATAAGTAAATATATTGTAGAATAAATAAGGATAATGATTTGTATAATACGAAGTAATACAGCATATTTTGCGTTATGTATTACAACTACTTTTGGTGTTTCATAGTCAGTGAAATAACCCGTAAGCATATTTTTCATACTTTTTCCAACACGATGACGATTTTTGAAAGATGAACGTGAATTCATTTCTTACAAATAAAATGTATTATATATTCTAGAATACAATCAATAATAATAGTAATTGGTCATTTTTACAAGAAATCTAATTTGATATATTAGAAACATTGTTTATTTGTTACGTAATAATATTTTAGTTTTTTTCAATGATAATAAATTTCATAGAATAAATTTTATATTTATTAAATAAGGTAAAAAAAAATGCGTTGATCCCACAAGAAGGAGAAGCTTCTCAAAATGCAGTAAGAGTTTAATTGAAAAAGGCCGTATATGTTATTTTCATAATATGGGATGCAAAAGTCTTTGAAAAATGTTAAACTCTGTTAGACTATATTGCCAACTTCTAAACGAGTAAAATTGTGTTCGGTTAAAAACAATGAAGTCTAAACTACAGGTTTTGCATCGGGCATATTTTTCCAGAACGAATCTAAGAAGGAAGAAACACCAAAAGTCAAACATTGACAAAAAGTTCTTGCAACTTCACTATCGGGCAACATCATTTTCTATTTTAGGTTAAACTGTTTATATCAGCAGTGAAATGAAAAAAACACGTTTAAAACTGATTTTTGATAGCATAAAGACTACTCTTTCCAATGGTGTATTGAAATTAAATTTACTCTTGATGTTTATATCAAGATCTAACTTTTTCTGAAAAAAAAACATTATAATTTAGCCGTTCTTGCTATCTGATCGTTTCGGAACAATATAAACTATATATATTTTTAATTGTTTTTCTCTGTTAGATTTCTACGATATAAAACTTATTTCGAACAAAATACCGTGCAAAGAACTCAGTTCATGCATGGTTTCTGAAGATTGTGACTGACATCCTTTGAAACTGCTAGCTCTTGCAAAAGACTGCATTTGAAAAAAATTTTAATTTCCAATTTTTTTCTATTGATGAGTCAAGAACATATCTAAAAATTTTCGCCAAAGCTGATAACTGTAGCACCTTTGATGGGCTATGTTTCGGTATATTTTATTGTTCATTTAACTCGAAACTATTGAAAAACAGAAATTTTTCAAATTGCGGAAATATTGCAAAAACTTTATTTTAGACGTGTTCGCTATTTTTTAGCTTTTCCTTCATCTTAGATTTGTTTTGGAAAAATGTCTGGTATAAAATTTGCAGTTTAGACATAACTCATTCGAACAAAAGAAAAATTTCATTGATGTATAGGTTGTCAATATGGTTTAACAANAACGAGAATTATTTGAAGATGTTATCCATACACGCATGAGAAATTCTAAATAAATTCGATTATTTCAAGTAAATCTAAATTGATATGTTTTATTAGCAAATGCAATAAAGACAATCCAAATGGGCTTTTTATCATTGAAAAATGTGCTGAAGTCTTTTCGTTCACAATATATATAACTTTTCATGAAACGATTATATTTCAATAGACTATTGGAAGAGAGTTGAAGTGTTCGATCATGTTTTTCGAGAAATTTTTATGGTTTTTTACAAGTTTTCGCAAGACTGACTTTCCAAAAAAGGATATGTCTTCAAACCGTTTGATTACATGATAAGTTCAAAATATCTTGAGCATGTCTTTCTAGTTTACATATCGATCATTACTTACTATCCAAAAGGCATCATGACACTTCAAAGGCTTATAATTACATTGTTGATTATTAACTTTCATTCAACAGTTCTCTTTTTAATTGTTTGTAAGAGAGCTATGAATTTCTGCTCTTCAAGATAAAGTTCACTAAAATTCTTGAACGCTTATCAGTTCTGATTATTATCTAAAAAACATAGTATTTTTCCACTTTTGTCAGCTACTATAAAGCATTTTTAGCTATGTTTACTTTCATTTATTGCATTATTATGAACTTTAAGTCACTAACAAGTTTCAGTAGTGTTTGATTAGTATTCATTCAACAGTTTTTGAAAACATTGCAAAACTGATATATTATGAAAAAGTGCTTTGTTGTTGTCACAGAAAATGTTGATAATCAGTGGAATGAACATATTGGTCCATATCTTGGTTCTTACTTTTGTTAGATGTAATATCAATGTATTCAATTGGTAAAAATCTATTAGAATCAGTCCTAATCAAGTAGTATTCAGACATGTGAATGATTTAAACTTTATCATAATGATATAAATTGATCTTTTCTCTTCCAGATACTCAAAAAAGAAGATGTATTAGATTAAATTTAATCAAAAACGGTGTTATATGCATTTGAAATATGATTATGATTTTTAAAAGATTCAGTACAGTATTGGCTCATAGTCGCACCAAGACATAGATTGATTTATTAGATTGTTGTTTATGTGCTGAAATATGAATAAATATTTTTCTAACGATAAGAATTGTACGTAAATAAGAAAAAGAAAAAAAATTATGTCATATCTATCTCGTCCATTAATTTAGATAAAAAAGAACTTTGGTTTTTTTCTTAAAGAGAAAGAAGAAAACACAGAATAAAATTTATCTGTACTTATTAATCCTTTCATTAATTATATGCAAACGCAAATCGATGCATATCTACATTTCAATAATATCTACATATCATGTAAGCTACACAGGCATAAATGAATGACATTTGTCTTCTTCTATCATCATCTGTCGATATATCTTATGCTTATTTTAGCTTTCTATTACACGAGAAAAAGAGTTTCTACCATATAATTTTTCGTACTAATTGATTTTTTCAATAAAACTAAAATTTTATTTAATAACAAAACGAATCAATCTGATTCTCTATAGAACTAAATATTATCTCTATCTAATCGAATAAAATATAGTAAAATTAAACATGATGAATGACAAAAAAAGAATATCTTCATTTTGAATAACAATGTTTATTCTTTCAACATTAGGCATTTTTTATTGTTATTTCCCTAGTGAAAAAGTCCATATTGATATAGAACTATGTCATAGTAATCTATTAGAACAACAACTAATGGACACGTGACTTAACCAGAATTCTTCTGATAGTTGGACGTTGACTTAGCAATGTTATAAAACGTGTTTACGTTGTAGACATGTCAGATTTGAAAGTTGAATTTCACGGTGGTCAACTATTTTTAATACACATACAGAGTAGTTCTTGAATACCTGAGCTGGATAGATGAACACCTGAATTCAACTTTCAACTTTGACACTACTGGTTTTTTGTTTTCAATTCGAATATTGTCTCTTTGTGATCAAGAAGATCCATAGTTATTTCATAATTTACTTATACAATATGCTTCACAATTAAAACCAAGGTAACCATGGATACAGTGTAGGACGCACTTTTTATAAATACTAAAGAGGGTGTGAATGTGGATGCTGTTCGCAAAGGTGTCATGTGGAAACGTTTTTTTACAGTAATTTCCATCCGGTTTCCCGTAGAAATCGAGAACGCACGTGCTATTAAAAAGTGGACACTACAGAATATCATTTTGTTTTGTTTTATATTTATACTCTCCAAATTTTGCTCTTTCAAGAAAAAAATATTGAACTCAAGCCGCTGTTATATTGTTGAGAAATAAATTTCTACATTCTTCCGAAGACTTTTATATTGCTTATTAATAAAAACAAAAATAACAAATATCTATCAGCAAGAATTAGACAAGTTCATTAATTGTTCATTATATTCTTATTCTATTATCACAACTATTTTTTTTTTCTTTGTGGTTATCATCTTCAAAATGGCTATTATTTAGAATATCTCACAATATAACATTATTATTATGTTTTTGCCATGAATGTTTTCGTTTTTTCATCGATTTTATTGATGTGCATGTATTTTTCTTGTCTTTTCAATTGTTCAATTGAGGAAAGAAATAATTTCATTAATTTAACGCTCATAAATTTCGACATATAAATAATAATTGATGTATTTTACAAACATGCACCTCCAAAGATAAACATATTTTTTATTTAAGATCATGACAGGTTGTGCAAAGTAAGACGTTGACACAAGCTAGTATCTTCTAATGACAGTTATCGTCAAACACGAGAAATTGAATTGTAATAGGAGCTCTAAAAGCATGATGGGAACAGCAAACGGAAATCCAGAACATTCGTTCCTGCAAGACACTAGTTGAGCGTCTTTTGTTCAACTACACCCACACCAACATTTTCAGATTCTTAATTATCCTACGTATTCTTTTTTCAAATAAGTACTTTCCTTTTATTTGTGTTGATAATTGGTCGTAATTGTTGATACTAACTAAGAAAAAAAGTGTCAGATTATCGTTGAGCAGCTCTTTAACAACGTAAATTTGTTCGTTTTCTGGCAGTAGTCGTGTGTATTAGATTTATTATTTTTTTCTTTATTGCTCATTTTTTGGTTAATTGGCTATAATTACTTGACCTGATTTATTAATTATTTTTCGAGTACATTATAATCAATTAAAAATATTTCATCAAAAACAAATATTTAAACTAAAATTTCATCCTTTTCAAAATTAACTCATTAATCGTTTCTGCCATCAATAATAACATTTCATATATTATAAAATTTCATATGTAATTAAATTTATCATCATTTAACCCATTCGCGGCGGCATGAATATTTCTTTTTCATAACTCGTGCAAGGTTTCGTTTCTTTATTTGTAGCAACTGTAGTACTTCAAAACAAGTTTTATCAACGTTTCTCTTATCAATATGAGCTATGAACATTCTTTATCAGCGGTAAAAGAATCAACCTCTTTGGTCATAGTATGACGGAGATATTCAATTTTTTCTGCGATAAATGAGCTTTTGGGCCGCCCTAAAGTGGGTCCCACCGGTGGGACCCATCGCCTCAAAAGGGTTAATAGTATATGCGTTATGGTATTTTTATTGATTGGCAAGCTGCAGGTTAAATTGTCATTTATTAAAGAGAAACAATAGAGAACAACCAGAGAGATATTAATGTTCAAAAGATATGATAACAGATTCTAAGAATTTGTCCAAAAGGTTAGTGAGAGTATTGTGGAAAAAACGATCAATTTATTTGCAACATTCACAGAATAATGTGACCAATCAAGATCTTTTTTTTATTTTGCATATATTTCAGTGGT